TCCCAGCTTTCTGTCATCTGCCAACTTGCTTAAGGTGCTCCTGCTCCATCATTCCGGTCATTAACGAAGAGGCTAAACAGTATTAGTCACAATATCAACCTCTGAGGTACAACTAAAGACTGGCCTCCAACTGGACATCCTGCTGCTGATTACAACTCCAGCTCAGTCAGCCTCTCCTCACAGGAGAGATGCTCCAGACCCTTCATCTTCATGGCCCTTCACTAGACTCTCCTCTTCATCTTCATGGCCCTTCACTAGACTCTCACCATTGCAGCTATATCTCTTGTCCTGGTGAGACCAGGCCTGGACACAGTACTCCAGATGCGTCCCACCAGCACTAAGTAGAGGTCAAAGATGACTTCCTTGACCCGTCGGAAACACTCCTCCCAGTGCAGTCCAGGATACCATTGGTTGTCTTTGCAGAAAGGGCTCACTGCTGGCTCATGTTCAACTTGGTGTCCCCCAGGCCCCCAAGGCCTTTTCTGCCAAGCTGACTTCTAGCCAACTGGCCCCAGCAGGTACTGGGATACGCAGTTGTTCCTCCCAGGACCTTGCACTTCCCTTTGTTGAACTTCACAAGATTGCTGCCGGCCCATTTCTCCAGCTTGTCAAGGTCCCTCTGGATGGCAGCATACCCATCTGGTCTATCAACCCTTCCTCCCAGCTTTTTGTCATCTGCCAACTTGCTTAAGGTGCTCCTGCTCCATCATTCCGGTCATTAACGAAGAGGCTAAACAGTATTAGTCACAATATCAACCTCTGAGGTACAACTAAAGACTGGCCTCCAACTGGACATCCTGCTGCTGATTACAACCACTTGAACCTAGCAGTTCAACCAGATTTCAGTCCACCTCACTGCCCACTAATCTAGTCCATACTTCATCCCTTTGTCTATAAGGGTGTTATGGGAGACATTGTCTATACTTGCTGTACTCGAGATAAACAATATCCTCAGCTCTCACCGCATCCACCAAGGCAGTCACTTCATCAAAGAAGACCATCAGGTTGGTTAAGCATGATTTACCCTTCGCAAAACCATATTGTTTACCCCCAACCACCTTCTTCATTATGAGGTGATTTTCTTTTCTGCCTATCAAATAATTAATGTGCCATCTCCAGTCAGAGGTTATATTCCTGTGATTCAGATCTGGCTCTCTAAGGACGTTCTAGCCAGCAAAAGTGAGAAAAGTTGATCCAAATAAATAGAAACTGCAAATGTGAAGTCAGTTCAACCCTTGTGTGTTTTAATTGAACATGGGACATGGAGTTAACAGAGTCAAGGCAACACATAATCACCGAGAAGGGATGCGTAACAGAAATACTATGACCAGTATGAAAGAAGTATGAATGGAAGTGTCTGCACACAAAAGCACCAGAAGAAATGATACTGAGAACGTTATTAGAACGGCATGCACTGAAATGCAAGGACACGAGTGACAGCAGTCAAACTGGCAAATGATGAAAAATGTATTGCTACACCTGGACCAGAAGACCACCACCCTGGTGAGGCCATACTAGAGATGCCTAGCCAGCCAGAGACCCACAGCAAAGCTACAACTCTGCCAACAGGAAACCAGGCTGGAAGCCACACACCCACCCACAATGTCTCTGGAAACAAAGGACAGCAATGACAGGCTGAAGCAAGCAAGCTTCTGAGGAAAAGATCATACCACGAGAACTGTTTGACTCCTAAAGAATACCAAAACTTTGTCTAGAAGCCAGTTTATTGTCATCAATCAAAAGGAACCCAAGAGACATAGTGAGGACTTCAGAGGCACTGTCCCTCACTCTCATCACACACAGGTGACCCTGGCCACACAGAAGCCTTGGTGTTGGTGAGCACACAGCAATCAGTATGACTGGCATCTGTGACAGGAGGGCAAGGGAGTGAAAAGAGATTAATTTGAAATAAGTATCACCCTCCCCTCCAATAAGATCCTGCACTGTATTTCCTCATACTAAGGTCTTGAAGGTCTTTCACATTTTTGCTGTTTTAAATAGACTACCTTAGGTCCAGAGTTTTCCCTATTTAGATTAACTTTCCTGACTAAGCCATTAAGAGGCACTGTCCCTCACTCTCATCACACACAGGTGACCCTGGCCACACAGAAGCCTTGGTGTTGGTGAGCACACAGCAATCAGTATGACTGGCATCTGTGACAGGAGGGCAAGGGAGTGAAAAGAGATTAATTTGAAATAAGTATCACCCTCCCCTCCAATAAGATCCTGCACTGTATTTCCTCATACTAAGGTCTTGAAGGTCTTTCACATTTTTGCTGTTTTAAATAGACTACCTTAGGTCCAGAGTTTTCCCTATTTAGATTAACTTTCCTGACTGTATTTCCTCATACTAAGTTCTTGAGGTCTTTCACATTTTTGCTGCTTTAAATAGACTACCTTAGGTCCAGAGTTTTCCCTATTTAGATTAACTTTCCTGACTAAGCCATTAATCCTGACAACAACCTTAGCCAAAAGGCTCTGAGATTCAGAACTCACCTCTCCATGGGCTGAGTTGTTCCTAGCTTAACTATCAAAAGACCCTTCAGAGGAACCAAAAGGCTCTGAGATTCAGAACTCTCTCCATGGGCTAAGTTGTTCCTAGTTTAACTATCAAAAGACCCTTCAGAGGACAGTTTAGAGCCTCTCCTATGTCTTATATCTGAATGAAGGAATGAGTTCACAGAAGCCAACTACACTCCTTACAAGGGTGGAGTGTTACTAACGCAGCAGAAGGTAACTTATATCTGTACTCCCTGTACTCGGCACTGGTGAGGCCTCACCTTGAGTACTGTTTTGGGCCCCCTACCATAAAAAAGACATTGAGGTGCTGGAGCGGGTCCAGAGAAGGGCAACAAAGATGGTGAGGGGTCTGGAGAATAAGTCTTATGAGGAGAGGCTGAGGGAGCTGGGGGTGTTCAGCCTGGAGAAGAGAAGGCTGAGGGGAGACCTTATTGCTCTCTACAACTCCCTGAAAGGAGGGTGTAGAGAGGTGGGGGTCGGTCTCTTTTCTCAAGTCACAGGCGACAGGACAAGAGGAAATGGCCTCAAGTTGCACCAGGGGAGGTTCAGGCTGGATATTAGGAAAAATTTTTTCACCGAAAGGGTTATCAGGCATTGGAATGGGCTGCCCAGGGAGGTGGTTGAGGCACCATCCCTGGAGGTGTTCAAAAGACGGGTTGATGAAGTGCTGGGAGGTATGGTTTAGTGATGATGCTCCTTGTTTGTTGTGTGGGTGTCTATTTTTTGTCAGTTAGGTTGACGGTTGGACAAGATGATCTTTAAGGTCCCTTCCAACCTAGAAGATTCTGTGATTCTGTGATCTTCTACTTTTCCCCATCCCTGATAACCCCAGGTCTCAGCCCTGAATTCTCCCTCCATTCCAATAATTCCTGCTAGTCCTCGTGTACTTCTGTAACATGCAGGAGAGCGCCCTGACTCCGTGTCTGCTGTTCTCATCTGTGCTTTTCTCTTCAGGGCCGGAACACAGAATGTGTGAAATCCTGCACAGGCAGTGGAGTCGCTGCCAAATCTTTCAGCCGCCGTCCCTTCACTTCAACCACCAGCTCAGAATTTTATACTCTGCTTTGCAGAAGGCCCCGTGTGCTGAACCCATACCATGCATTGAACATCTGCCTCAAACGCATTTCAAAATAGTTTCCCAGTAAAACACATCATATATACGTACATACCCAATAGAAATTAAAAAAATAACGAAAAATATCATGTAACACACAATATATTGCACAAGGAAATGAGAAAGGTAGGCCCGAGAAAATCAGTAACTATTTCTTACAAAAAGTACCATGAAGACTTTTATTTTAACCTCCCATCAGAAAAATACACACTGAGTAAACAACATAATTTTACTGTACTTGTTAAATCCTTAAATGACTCATTTTCAAGAACTGAGCAAAGGACTAAATACGAAGCATCGAACTATAATCTTTTACTCCCAAATACTGTCTTTCAGCAGCAGAGTTGAAATCCAAATCCAATTTTAATAAAACCTTTGCACAGATCTTTTTTTTTCTGGCTGGAACAAACATTACTGTGGCAAGTCCCACTCTTTCACAAGATCAGAGTTTTACCCAGTATGGAAAAAGCCCTAGCTTAATAAACCATTACATTAAGCAGCACAAAAGGAAATGAATAAATATATTGAGAGAGGAAAAAAAGGCAGGGTATCAGAAGGGCTTTCTTTCTGATGTGATGTTCTCAGCTCATTATTGGGCCACACCAAACACACATTTCCCATCAGCACTCCCACTCCAAGGAATAACAAAAGCACTTTTTTTCCAAGACCAAATGTTAAGCCCTTCCATAGCTATACATATTCCAACAAAAAAATCCCAGAAAAAAATAGCAGATCTTTCAAACAACAGCTTTATGATCCTCTGTGGGCATTTTTAACAGAAGATTTCCATCCTCAAAAAGGTAAGGCTCCTCTAATTTGCCATTGTGTATGACAATCCTAATAGTTGTGCTCCAGACTCTCAAAGCAGCCTACCTTTTGACAGCACAGTCTTGGATAGGGTAGAATATAAAAAGATATTCTGCCATGGTAAGCTTGGTATACAAACAAAACTAAGTTTCTACCCCAATACAATTGCATGGTACAGCAGCGTTCTGCAAATAGCTAGCTTCTGGGCAAAACAAGTAATATCTGACCTTTGGTTGCATGATTATCATACATTTGATTAATTGGTTTACAAATCAATTAATGAATTAGCAAGTTCTGATAATTCCATTTTTTGATCATGCACCAGTATTTTAATTATTAGCTTGCACCGAAGCAGACAAAGAGGGACAAGCTTTGTATTTTACTTTCTTTAAATATAAAAAGTGTGCGTACATGTATAAATATACAAGCATACATAAAAAGCAATACATTAATTATTTCATTACTTCACCTTCCACATGCTACTGCCGTTCTCAATGTTATATCTTACTTTTTCTGTAAATACCCCGGGTGAACGAGAAGAAATTAAGACCATCCTTACCTTAATGTTGCAGGCTTGTTCCATCAGTCTTCTGGCGTTCTCTTCAGCTCTGTACCTCTTGGGCAACTGAACCCTGAAGAATTTCAAAGCTCCTTCAAAATCAGCTTGTAGAAGGTCCTCTTTTGAGGTCTGCAATTGAACACAGGGAACTACTGTAAACACTGAGAACATGCAGTCATGCTCTTTTACTGGGTTTGTCATTTACTGAATGTATTCCAAACCACCAACATTCACATTAGCTCAGAATCATCCTCCTCGCAATCAGCTCTCTAACCCCTGTCTCATAAAACAAAACAGAGGCTAAAGCATATCCCAGGAATCCCAGGCAGAACAGCACAATCAGAGGACTGTAACACATTAATGTATTTTTTTCTTCTATACCTGCAGGGTAAGAAGGGCATTCTGGCTCAGCCTGGCAAGATGTCACTCCGCGAGGAGAAAACCAAAAACCAAGCAAACAACAAAAACCCAGGATAATTTATAATATTTTCTAGAGAGCTTGAGCATTAGACCATTGCTCATTCTCATAATGCTGCCCTAAAAAGACAATGTATATATAGATATATATGGTTATAGACATGAACAGCAGAAGCAGAAATGCATATGACTCATAAGAGGCATCAGCAAGTCAATGTGCAGAAGTCTGTGACACAATTTCTCAAAGAACACTGTGCCAGAAAATGTTTTACATGCTTATTTCTGCATCTCTCATAATGCTGTACCTCTCAGTGTGGTATCAAGCCTAACAGGTCAGAGAATGTTAAACAGTCAACATTAATCCTGTTCTGCTACTGACGGAGTAATATGATTCATGGGGACAAATATATTCATCTTCTGATTTACCAAGAACTACACCAAGAGATTTCACAGATATGAAATACCAAGCCTTGGGATAGCTCCTTGAAAAGGTTCACAGAAACTGAATGTCACAGAATCACACAGGGTTGGAAGGGACCTCTGGAGATCATCTAGTCCAACCCCCCTGACACAGCAGGTCCACCCAGAGCAGGTTGCACAGGAACTTGTCCAGGTGAGTTTTGAATGTCTCCAGACAAGGAGACTCCACCACCTCCCTGGGCAGCCTATTTAAGGGCTCTGCCACCCTCAAAGAAAAAAAAATTACTCCTCATGTTTAGGTGGAACTTCTTATGTTCAAGTTTGTGCCCATTTCCTCTTGTCCTGTCCCTGGGAACCACTGAAAAAAGACCAGCCCCATCCTCTTGACACCCACCCTTTAAGTATTTATAAGCATTGATTAGATCCCCCCTCAGTCTTCTCTTCTCTAGACTAAAAACCCTCAGCCTCTCCTTGTAAGAGACATGCTCCAGGCCCCTAATGATCTTTGTAGCCCTCTGCTGTACCCTCTAGCAGTTAAGTCCAGACAAGACATTTAGGATGTCACCTCAAAAATGCGAATTTCAAGATCTTTAACCCAGAAAGAGTAAACAAAAATGTGTCAATGTACCGACTAGTACCATGGAGACCAGCGCGGTGTATCACAGTGTTACTACAAATACCTCAGGAGCAGCACAGGTACCTTTGGGTAAGGTTAATTGCTGAACTAATTGCTCAAGTCCCACCTCCAACATTTTCATGTGTTGAAGCTCTGCTTGCTCATGAGTAACACCATTTGTCTTTCTTTGCCTTGTTACACACAGTAGGTATATTACATACACATAGTTTCAAAAGTTTGATTCTTAACTGTATCGTCATCCTCTCAAAATCCTTTGCTGTCTCCTATTTCAGACTAGTTTTTTCCAGAAAACACACTTGAGCCAAACAGTTTGATTCTTAACTGTATCATCATCCTCTCAAATTCCTTTGCTGTCTCCTATTTCAGACTTTTTTCCAGAAAACACACTTGAGCCAAACACAAGAGATTTGGCTCTACACCGAAAGAACTGGCAGAAACTGTGCAGCCTTTGACACACAAGATGTGAAGCTTGATGGTACTACTATTTCTCTTGGGTGTTAAATTTGTTTAAATAAATAAAAGTAAATGTAATTACCACTACAATGCAGAGAAAATTTTACTTTTATTTACAAATCCTCCTTACGCAACCTATGAACTAGCATCACTGGCTCATTTACATGAAAAAAAAAATGTGTGTGCTTCTTAAAAGTTTTGTTTCCCAAAGCAAACTGAATTTCAGCGTGGTGCTGCGCATACATAACAGTAATACTCAAACTTAGCTCAATGTACTCCACATTTCTGCCAAAAATGCTAGAGCCGCCTACTCAGAGAGTCTATCAAAACCAGCAATTTATCCAAACTTTCGTTTGGTGGGGGAATGAAGAAGGGTTTTTAAAGGGATTGTAAATTATGTACCAAACTTGGAAGAGTAACAGAAGTTAAGGTGGTATTTTCATGGTTATTCAGTATCTCTTCATGTGTGCTAAATAAAAGCCCTTCTTAAAAGTTTTGTTTCCCAAATCAAACTGAATTTCAGCATGGTGCTGCGGATACATAACAGTAATACTCAAACCTAGCTCGACGTACTCCACGTTTCTGCCAAAAATGCTAGAGCTGCCTACTCAGAGAGTCTATAAAAAATAGCAATTTATCCAAACTTTTGTTTGGTTGGGGAATGAAGAAGGGTTTTTAAAGGGATTGTAAATTATGTACCAAACTTGGAAGAGTAACAGAAGTTAAGGTGGTATTTTCATGGTTATTCAGTATCTGATAGTGGAGAGGATGTGGTGACATGAGAGGCGTGGCACCCAAACACTGATAGAAATCACTGCTCTGTGCTCAATCTTTCACTTTGGGAACAGGCATAGCAATATGCACTTTGATTTCCTCAATCAAGAGCCTACAAGGACAAAAACTACACTGTACGTGTTTACCTATTCCCCCATTTTTTGAGATTAGCCTACTGTATACCATAATGGGTACTACTACATAGTTTTTGCTGCATTAATCACAAGGAAAGAGTGAGAAAACGCCAAATACAACTGGAGTAGCTTCAGCAGATCTGTTTCCCCATCACTGCAGCATTTTTAAGGTAGACAACTTCCTGTCATCAAAATCTCCAGAGCTCCCTCAACTTCTATTTGATCCTCCCTTCGTTCACAGCCAAGGAAGCTGCTGGGTCATCACTGCAGGGACAGGGGAAAAGCTGCCTTCAGGATGCTGATGAAAAATGCTCAGCTTTACAAATCTATCGCATCTGATTCTGTCCACAGAAATTTGGCAGGAGGACTATTTGGCTGAGACTCAATCAGACAAGACCGATGTAGTGTTGACAGAAAGCTGGTGCAGTTGGGTATCTAATGAATCAGACCAACTCCTGAATGCAGCTATGGCCAAAGCATCCATTTCCTCTTTCTAATGTATTTCTCCTGGATGAGTTTTACTGAGGTTATACATGCTTTAGCCACACTTGAGATTAGATGGCCATTTCAAATCCACGTGGGCTCTACCAAAGATTACCTGGAAGTTGTAGAGCCTGGTGGGAGCAGCCTGTCACACAGGCAGCACACAGCATCACTGCCAAACCCCACGCTGGCAACCAAGCTGCTTCTGGGCAAAGTTCAGCTGGGTAATGTTGATCGAGAAAGAGTAAATGGTTTGAAAACCAGCTTACTTTAAAGCAATTTCTCTCCTTTCCTCTCAGAGATGTTGACAGCTGTGATCACTACACAATTCAAACAGATTTCCCCATTCCATTGCAAATTTGCCTTCTTTAGAGACAAGCTCTCCTGCATTTCTAGTCCCCTACTCCTCTTTCCTCATGCTAAGGCAGCCTCTCCCATCCTCTCAAACCCAACAGCGAACACAACTCTAACCCCAGGTCTAAAGGCTTGGCACCAGCCAATCTGTAAAACCTATTTTGTTGCCATTCTTGGTTTTACACAGAAGGTGCTCAGATACTGCAGTGCCAAAAGACAGGACAACCTCCAAGACAGGCTGACTGGTGCAGGCTTCCAACAGAGTAGGAGGGTGTTTTCAATTAAGACTTACTTCTGGGCAGTTGCTCCCAGCATAAAACAAACACCAAAAACACTTTTTGCCAAAGTTTAAACATTTTATTAGGAGCTGAGCTATCCCAATTTGAAGCATGTGTTCTTCCTAAAGGTCCCGATTAGACTTTTTTTTAAATTTTGTATTGAATTTATTTTTCTTAAATTAACCTAATGCATTGAGAGTTTGGGAAATTTTTTTTAGAAATCCGAGGAGAAAAAAAAACTTTAAAAATGTGGCAATCAACAATTAAATTACCCTGCCAAACTTTAGAAAAGCAGATGCACCTACTCTTTATGTTCATAGCGCTTCATTTAAAAATAAATACCAAAAAAAGAGGCAAATATGTCAGAAAAACAGCATTAGCATGTAAAACATTTAAAATCAGATTTAATTCTCCTAGGATTCTGCTTGAATCACTGTTATAATACTATTTTAACAGCCCCCAAACAAATCATTCTCATAGAATTGTAACTATTGACAATTTTGAAGGTCTCAACCCTGAAAAACCCATAATAACCCATGACAAGCCCATAAGAATAATGACGGCTCATGGAAATAACTTATGTGACAGAGCTTGCTGAACTAAGATTATAATTATGAAAAATTATAAACCATCACATTGTATAGTCTGATATAATGCGTGGTAGAGCCTGAACTGCTCAGGTTCTTTCTACTTTGCTGAGTATTTTAATTTCATTAAAATAATTTGTTGATCAAAAAATCAGCTTCACTATTAAAAATCACAAGAAATCAAAGCATCATTTTGAGAGCAATGATAACTTGGTTGTGTACTTTGTGTATTTTCTGCAAACTAACTTCTTCGAGTACGGATTAAAAACGGGAAGCAACACAAAACCAGTGGTTGTGTATATATATACAGTATAAAAAGTTTAAAAATAGCAATGTTAGCATCCTAAGATACACATTTCGTGACATTTTGTGATTTTAATCAATAAATGATAAAGACATTTCAGGAACCTGTTTGACAGACAGAAAGTTGTAAATTCATTGGTTCATGCCACTCGGCTAGCAGAACTCATGAACAACTTATTTCACTACACCATCTGCAATTTTAATGAACCAATAATTACAGTTTGGCAGGTACATGGCATTTTTGTGCACCCAGGGACTTCAGGGCATTTTTTATTATTCTATATGTAAC